TGGCTCTCAGAGTTCTCAGGGGAAATATTGCCACCATCTTAGATGACTTAGTGTCTCTGCGGATAACACATTCTACATCCTAATTTTAAAGTCTCTGACTCCCTTGCCTTCAACGACCTTTGCCCTTCTTTCCACTTGGGGCACTTATCCCCTTGGCCACACTCTGAGTCTTGTCATCATTTAGAAGTGCTACGCTCTCTGACAAAATCCCAGTCTCCAAACATAGTTGCTCTTGCGGCTCTCCTTTCCTTACTTCACTGCCTCATTTGTCTCCTTTCCTTCCAACTTCTTGTCATCACATACCACTGAGCGATAGTGGGGAAAATTTCATCCACCTCTGGACTGGGGCCAGGGTCTCCAGTTTCAGCCCACTCACATTTGGATTCTCTCTTTACTATATCCCTGAAGCTGCTCTTTCCAATGTCACCAGAAACTTCATATTGTTAAGATAGAGGGACACTTCAAGCCTTGTCCTATTAGTCCTCTTCTCTACGTTGACCAGTTCCTCCTCATTCTTGAAATTCTCCTCTCCTGCACTACTGAGACACCAGTCACTCCTCATTTTCTTTTATCTTCTTAGAGGCTCTTTCTCCATCTTCCTCACTAATTCCTTTTCCTCCATCAATCCCATAAATATCGCTGTTCCAGGGTGTTGCCCTGGGTTTACTTCTCTCATTTTACAAATCCTTGTCAGCTTATCTCACAAAGGTTTCAATAACCACTCACTCAAATACCAATGATGCCCAAGTCTACACCTTTGGCCTTGCTCCATAGCTGATTGTCCTTTGGATATTGCTACCAGTGTGCCCCTCAAAGAACCTTAAACTCCACATGTCCAAAATGAACTTTCTATTCTGTAACCTCAATTCCCCATTCTCTTCACTAAAACATCAGACCCTGTGTGAAATAGCAGAGTCTACATTAAGACCAGCAGGTGCTGCCTGTCCCCTGGACAGAAAAGGAAACTTGAACCATATTCATTATTATAAGTTTAAGATGCATTAAAATGTCCCAAACATTCTTTTTAGTCAGGAGGTCGGTAAATATAAAACATGCATAATCCTGAGTTGCTCAACTGTGAATTCTTCTCCCACGAATGATTTCAGAAGGAAACGTTCTGCCGTGGCCAGCTACCCATCTTGGGTCAGCAGTTGACCCAAGTCATGAACTGTGGAAGATGACCTAGGTGAGCAGGTCCAGTGCAATTGTCTGCATGTTCACAAATGAGTTTTGCTTTATAGCAAATATTAACCTTTCTATGAGAAGAGACTGGGTCACACATAAAGCTAAAAATAGATGGACACTCCAGGAAGGTGCCTAGGTTTCTGGGTTTCATAGCCTCTCCTGAACGGTGGATTCTCAGAGTAAGGGACCAGCTTTTACATAAGTGAAGTTTCCTAGAAATGTGGATGCCAGCTCTGGTAATGGAGCTCCCAAAAATGGCTGGAGGGCAAAACAATCCCTATTGACATGGTTCCTCTGACAGATGCAGTGTAATCTGAGGTCTGAGGATGAACAAAGTTTTGGACAACATTAATTTAACCTATTTAATTTGTCATCTGCGTGAGAACTCTTGGTGCATGATGCAAGAAACTAAAATCTAACCAACTGCTTTAAGAAAGAAAGAACAGGATCATTGAGTATTTCAAGCATCAACTAAACTAGAGGAATGGGAGTTTGACCTTGGTCAGATACAACTGGCACTGAAGATTCAACATCTGGTTCTCTTCACACCCTAGGTTCAACTTTCCTCACTACAAATTGGATTCCTTGGTGTGACTGACTGCCAATAGCTCCCAGGCCTCTCTCACATCCCACCTGTCCCCAGCAGACAGGGACTAGACTATTCTCTCTTTGCTCTGAGGAAGGATTCTGGCCTGGCAGAGCCTGCTTGGGATTCTTTCTCCCTCTCTCACTGCCCCTCCCCTGCTTGCTCTCTCTCTCAAATAAATAAATAAACTTAAAAAAGAGAGAGAGAGAATAGCATCTTTGACAGAGCAGTATTGTGTGGCAGACAGGCAAACAAGCTGTACATTTTAATTATTGCCCAAATCACCTGGCTGCATACGCCCCTTTAGCTCTTAATGGAACCATGTGATGTAATCCTGTTCAGTAGAGGTCAAGTTTTATCAGTAGAATTCTTTCTGGAACTGCTGTGGTGTTACTTTGCACGAAGTAGTTATTAGAAAGTTGATGTTCTCACCATAAGGAACCAGGAAAATGAAGCAGGTCAGGAGGAAATGCTGGGAGTCTGCTGCTGCTGTCATATGTCAGTCTTGACACACCAGGAACCTCACAAAGGGATTAATCCAGGGACCCTAGGATCTTTGGCATACATTTTCCAATCACACAACACCTAGAATATTTATGGCTGCCAGTTTAGAGAAAAACGTTGCACCAGCTAAACTCTTAATTGCAACCAATACCTCAAACTCACCTCAAAATAGCTTACTATTTTGTAAAATTGCAAACTCACCTCAGAATACCTTGGAACTGAACCAGGATTGGCTTCAGGGATTGATACACTGTCAGATCATACTGTCCTCCTTTCTCAGTTCTATTTGCATGTTGATTCACTCTCTTCTCCTATAGATAGGCCTTTTCTAAGCAGTGGAAAGCTTGACCAACATAACAATTGGAGCATCTGCAAGGTTCCAGGGAAAACTGCATTTGGCCCAGCCCAGATCATATAAATGCCCCTGTATTCAAGGGAGAGGTCTTCATCACCAGAAATGTACAGGGATGATCACTGGATGAACCTTTGCCAGGTAGGTGACTTTTCAATTTGTGTTGACTGGCTATTATCAGATATTTTTAGGTTTATTTTTTTCTGATTATAAAATAAAGGCTCAGTGTTTAAAATCCATAAAGTTCTGGGGCACCTGGGTGGCTCAGTCCGTTAAGGTTCCGATTTCAGGTCAGATCATGATCTCGCAGTTTGTGAGTTCAAGCCCCGTGTCAGGTTCTGTCCTGACAGCTCGGAGCCAGGAGCCTGCTTCTGATTCTGTGTTTCTCTCTCTCTCTCTGCCTCTCCACCACTCACACTCTGTCTCTCTCTCTCTCTCTCTCAAAAATAAACATTAAAAAAATTTTTTTAAATACAAAAGTTCAGAAAGGAAAAAGGGGTGGGAAATATCCCATAATTCCACCACTTAAATGACAGCCAATGTTAGCCTTCTGTTCTTTGGTTTAATGCTTTAAAAAAAATCGCTTATATATAATTTTGCTTCCTGATTTTTCACTTTAACATGCATTTCCCCAAATCATAAAAATTCCTTGAAACATTGCTTTAAAGAGCCATATCCTATACTCTGAAAACTTTTTAGCCACCTCATTCAGAAGGAAAGAAGGCAGTGGGAGTGAGTCAGCATTCCTCCCATACATGAGCTCTGTCCTCAGGCACTTCAGTTCATAGGATTCAGTTCTTTCAGAAAAGGAGCCATCATACTGGAATTCCCCTCCCCCATTTCCTGCATTCCTCTAAACACTTTCAAACTTGTCTCATCCACATCCATCTGCTCTAGGCTTAGAGGATTTCCTATGAACTTGGTTAGTGGTTCACTTTATTTACTTTCTTTTTCTTTAATGTTTATTTTGAGAAAGAGAGTATGCATGTGCAAGAGTGGGGGAGGGACAGAGATAGAGAATCCCATGCAGGCTCTGAGTTGTCAGCACAGGGCCTGACACAAGGCTCCATCTCAGGAACTGTGAGATCATGACATGAGCTGAAATCAAGCCAGACGCTTAACCAACTGAGCCACCAGGTGCCCCTAGACAAACACTTTTTTATTTTTTTTAATGTTTATTTATTTTTGAGAGAGAGAGAGGGAGACAGAATCCAAAGCAGGCTCTGCACTGTCAGCACAGAGCCCGACCCACAGCTCAAACTCACAGATCATGAGATTGTGACCTGAGACAGTCAGATGCTTAACTGACTGGGCCACCTAGGCGCCCCTTAATTTTTTTCTTTATGATGCTTTATATTTTTTTAATGTTTATTTATGTTGAGGGAAAGAGTGTGAGCAGGGGAGGGGCAGAGAGAGGGAGAGAGAATCCCAAGCAGGCTCTGAGCTGTTAGCACAGAGCCCAATGTGGGGCTTGATCCCACGAACCATGAAATCATGACCTGAGCTGAAATCAAGAGTCAGAGGCTCAACCAACTGAGCCACCCAGGTGCCCCCCAAGGCAAACACTTTAAATTTGAATCCTGAAACTTTGTAGCAATATCATCTGGGAAATTCCTTTTACCTATCTAAATATCATGTGCAAAATGGGGATTTTGTCATAGTTTTTATGAGGATTAAATTATACGTTTGTAAAACAGTTAGCACATAATAGATGATCAACAAGTGGTAGTGAAAACAGCAAAACCCAGTTCTCCTCTAACTATAGTCCTCTCCTCCCTTGCCCTTCTCTCTCAAGCCATGTTCCTTGAAAATGATTTATACTTGTTGTCTCTATTTGCTCATCTCCCATTTATATCCCAATTCACTGTAATCTGGCTTTTGTTTACCCCTCTACTGAAACTGCTCACCAAAGATCTCCACTCTAGATGCCTTCAGGGAGCTTTAAGTCACTTCTTAATCTTTTCTGTATATAGTCACACTTAATTTCTCCTTCAAACTTCTCTTTTAGTTTCCATGACACCAGACTTCCCAATTTCCCCAATATTCAGACTGCCCCTTCTTTCTCTTTGTTGCCTGCACTCTTTCTTTTAAATAGTATTTATCAACTTCCACAGGTCTTGAAAAAGCAGGCTTCTTTGCTATAACGTCTGAGTCAGAATTCTGTCTTTTCTACTTACCAAACTGAGTTCCTAAGTTATTTAACTTACCTCAGCCTCTTCATCTGCAAAAAGGTGACCCCTCTCTGGATAATCATCCTAATGGAGGCATTGTACACTGAATTTCCCATTGGCATAATGGATTGGTAGGCACAAATTGGAATTCCAGACCTGGAAACCCGTTTCATAAGAATGTCAAAACTCAAAACAAATATAATGCTCTCCAAAATATTTATTAACCATATGAAACTAAACAATATGAACTATGATATAAATGTTCCTTGAGGTATTTTTCTTCATAGGCTGGACTGGCCGAGGTTTCTTAGACTCTTAGTTTAATGAAGTTTGGACAGAACATGTCATCTTTTCCTGGTAAATCTTCCTAGAGCATACATAGATATTTTTCCTTACTCCAGAGACCTTTGAACTGCATTGAAAATTAGGGTCATCTGCCACAAAGAAAAAAAAAGTTCAATGATGTTCAGATGAATGCTTCTCAAAGTTTTTAACAGCTTAATGTTGGGAAAGGGTAAGTTTCAATGATGTCTTACTCCTCCAGTTTTACAAAAATCTACCTTGCTGAGCTTCTGAGAGATTTCTAACAATACAACCAGGTTTGCAGGAGAAACTTCTAGATCCACTCACTCTGCAATGTCAAATCAGTTCATTGATGCTTTTTACAGTTCTACAAATGCCTTCAAAATACTGAATGAGGCAGGTTCCTCCAAATTCCTAGTTTCAGGCTTCACTTAGGATTTTCACAATATCCGAAACACTTTCCAAATTCTTTTTTGATCCATCCTCCTTGTCGACCGCTTTCATTGGCCTTTAAAAATTTCACAAATAAATATACCTTAAGGATGCAATGACTTATTTGATCTGTTGGCTAAAGTCAGGGAGATGCTTTGTGGAGGTGAACTGGGGAGGAAAACTACTCTAATGTCAGGATGCTGCTTCTGCTTTAAGAATTAGAAGACAGCTTAAAGCATTAAGCTGTTAGCAATATTTTAAATACCATTATTTCTTGACCTCTGGAACAGAGTGAAAATGAAAACCAAAGCTTCAGAATTGGCCCTTCAAGACATTAGCTCACTAATTAAAGGGGACTGGCTTGGATTCGTGGCAAGTTAATGTAAGGCAACAATTCCATTTGCACTCAACTGCAATGTAGGATTCCTCCTACCCAACTGCATAGTCAATATTTAAAATGCTTCTTCCTTACTAAAGTAAGCTTTCCAAAAGTTTTATCTGTTACATATGTCTCAAAAAATAACGGGCATTTAACTTTGCATTCCAGTTAACTTTTCTGGAAAATTCTTCAATGCTTCAATATTAGCAGTTGTAGCTTCCTCCTGGTGTTATGCTAACAAGTTCTCATTCTGTTATAAAAACAAACAAAACCTGTTCAGTGTGCAGTGTTCCCAGCTAATGAAAACCCTATTCCCATGTGTCCAACCACATGTCCATCCCATGTGTCCTAGTTCAGGCCCTCTTTACTCTTACCCTGAGTCAGAACAATAGCTGTGAAACCAGTCTACATGTAATCCCCTGCATCTACTCACTGCTCTACCACCAGCATCTTCCCAAACTATCTAATTGTCCTTTGAGCTACCACTCTACCTGTAGAATCCCTCCAACATAGCACTTACTATGTCATTTTATGTTTACCTGGGTCTCCCCTATTTTATCCTGAGTACCAAGGGGCAAAGACTATTTTTTACTGGTCTTTGGGCCACTAATTAGCACATAGAAGGCACTCAATGTAAGTATCCTGTGGTGAATGAATATAAGCCCAACTCTCCTCAGCTTTCAAATGGTAAGAATTCCTTCTTAGAAAACCAATTTTTTCCTACTTAATATTCTTAAACAATATGTGAAAATTTTACTGCAAATATCAACTTGATGAAAAACACCTGATTTTTTTTCTTTGAAGCTAGTGCACTTGAAAAATGCACCTTGACTTTGAGTGATCCCAATATACACCAATTATACTTTTTATAGCTTTGTCGTCAGTGACTACTGAAATGTGTTACCTACTCCAGTCTTTGCAGCTTTTTAGGCTGTCACCCACACTGATCAGCTTTCTTCTCTACTGTTCCTGCCTACACTAATTCCTTTCACACCTCTAAAATGTGTTTAGCATGCCATAGGCTTAAAAGCTGAATAAAGTTATTAGAAATGTTTATAGTGGGAAGATATAGACCCTAATCAAACAAATTGTTTACCCATGATCAAAAAGCACAAGGATCTTGTAACATCTTTTTGTGTGTGTGTGTGACCTTACTCTGGTTCTAATCTACATCAGAAAAAGATGTCACGTAGAATTAGCACTGTTTATCACTTGAATCTGCACTCTTAATTCTTAAAAAATCCAGCCTAGTTCAACTGAGTTACAACCTCATTTTAAAGCTCTCTTTTGTGACTCAGCTCAAATTAGAAAATTATGAGTCATTACATCCACTTAATAATCTAAAGCTATTTTAACCTACATTATATTACATTTCTAGCAGATCAAATGTATAATATACAATGTGATGAACAAATATTAAATATGACAAATGAAAAACATTTATGATTGATGGACAAATTTTTCTTCAATCACAAAATGTAACTGATGTAGACTAAAGCTCATCATTAAACAATAAATGTTTCATATTCTATCAAAAATGTGTCCTCTGCTTTTAGTACTTTATATACATTATACTCTAAATGTTAAAATGTGATAGTAGACATAAAATAGTAGAAAACAGGCATCACAAGATTTAGACAATTATGGTAAGCTCAGAGTGACTTTTAATATGCCAATCAATGTTAGTAAAACACAAGTCAAGCAGACATGTGCAAACATGTTTCAAACCAAAATTAATAGGCAAACATACGACAGACAAATTCTATGTTGTTTTTGCTTCTGCAATGTCTGGTTAGCCAGTATTATTAGTCAAATGGCTAATCATTGATAAAATATATTTTGTGAAAAGCTTGGAATAGTCAGAAGTCATTCTGGCATTACAAACAGCTATGTACACTATCGCCAAGATTAGTTTATATACACAAATATTGAAGAGAAACCGGGGAAAACATTTAAAAACAGACTAACAATACAATCAAGTACAAAACTTGGGTGGAGGGAGAGAACATTTTTAAAAAGGGTCAGGGAAGGGCATTATCAGGAAAAATTACAAAACCAGTAATAATTATACTACATTAATACAGCAATCCAAAAGGGAAAAAAAGGTGCATTACTCCAATGCACTAGCTTCAAAGTTCAAAGGAAAAAAAGGCAAATAGCTGCTTGTCATCAAGAGCAGCTACATATTTCACATAATTGTTTTCCAAAAAAAGCCTATTAACAACAATGATTGTTTAATGCTACAATTTTACAGCAAGGACAAAACTAAAATAGCAGCAAATTCACAAGGCAATACTTCCACAGAATTATCATTCCATGGTTCATGCAGTGCCTACAAAGTGCTCCCAGTTGGATATACAAGTATAATTCACAATTAAAAAAAAAAAAAGAAATATAAGATTGACACACAGGTACACTGAAGGCTGAGTAGTACTGAGTCTCTTAGCATTTCCCTTTTCAAAGGGAGAATATGTTTGTAATAAAGCCCTTGAGTCCTTTTTACAGGTCACTACAGGGAAAGTCACCTTTTATTACAATGCAACAGCAAACCATAAGCAGCACACCACCACAGTGGTTAACCCTGGAAAGGCTGGTGTAACATCCAACAGTGACTGACATCCTACAGAAGACAGACTAGTAAGACTAGACGAAAGCCTGATATAGCACTGGTCAAAATACAGCTTTCAACTGTAATTCACAAGTAAAAGTCCTAAAGGTATTTCAGTAAAACTACTGACACCGATTGAGAAAGTAATTTGCAAACTGGATTCTAGCAGTGATTTCAACCTAGCTTCCTCTTGTCACAGTTTTTTGGGGGAGGTGGGAAATGAGTAGTTCAGTATATGGTAAGGCTGACAGAGCGGTTCATTTTCTTTCCAATAAGTCGAGATGTTCTATTACTCTGGGTGGTGGACCTAGTGGTCATCCGATCAGTGAAGAGTGCTCTTTCCTCAGCTGCAGCTTTTGCCAACTGGGCTTTCTTGAGTTCTCTAAGAACATAAAAATAGGAAACAAGACTTTTCACCTATTGTTTTAATCCCAGGAAGGGATCATAGGAGGCCAAACATATAACTATATTGTCAGTTGGGAGATCTTAGCATGTCATCATTATTCTAAAGATATAACTGAGGAAAAAACTACAATATTAACTTTGCTTTTGCTCAAACAACTTAAATTTATGATTTTATTTTGTGCTTTCAAAATTAAAATATCATATACACTTAAACACAAGTAATAAAGATGCTAATAAAGAGGACACTGAATCTTAAATAATTTCAAACAACACTACTAATTCATATTGTGAAACTATCTCTATATAATAGAGATAAAAGGAAAATTCTACTTCCTATTTGTATGAACTATGATGGCTATCAAACTAGTGGCAAATAAACCTTTTAATATTTCAAGACAGTTTTATTAGATTAAAATCAGCAATAAAGCAAATGAATTAGAATTAACATTCCAATCATTTTAGTGAAAATATCAAAGGTCATTCAGATCAAATATGAGACTCATTTACTAACCTAATTGACATGAATTTAATCCTTTCATAAAAATAAATAGAAAAAATGAAGGAAAATGTTGATTTATGGTGAGCGTTTAGGGGGGAAAAAACCTGTACAGGCTCACTTAGCTTTTGCCAAAGGGATTGGGGATTATTACCACTTGCAAATACTTGCTAGTCTTAAAAATTTTTTTAAGTCCAGGGGTGCCTGGGTGGCTCAGTTAAGCATCTGACTTCAGCTCAGGTCATGATCTCACAGTTCGTGAGTTTGAGCCCCATATCGGCCTCAGAGCCTGGACCCTGATTCGGATTCGGTCTCCCTCTCTCTCTGCCTCTCCCCCACTCACACTCTGTCTCTCTGTCTCTCTCTCTCAAAAAATAAAATAAAATAAAATAATTAAAAATTTCTTAAGTCCCTAATTTCAAAGTTGAGGAACAATACAAATTAATAGATCACAAACACTAATTTAAGGCAGAAATCCCCAAATTTTAACTGTACAGCATACCAGACTACCAGAGCCTTCACTGACAAAAAGCCTAAGTCATCTCATTAAAATTTGAAAATGAAAGTTAAAACATTCCAAAAAACCCTCACTTACTTCTGCAAAAGTGAATTTTTGAATTTTTCAGCATTCAATTCTATTCGTAATTGTTCTGCACTTTTTCTAGAAGCAGATAGCAATACTGAATGTTTTACCAGTGCCATTGCTGAAGGCCTTTTCTCTGGGTCTGGATGAATCATAACCTTAAAAAGATAAGTAAAATTAAGGTAAAGACAGGCAATTTAATAAAACATTAAACCATTTCAATAAAAAGTGCTTTATATACAAAAAAAAAAATGCTCACTTTTAGCAACTCTGTAAACTCTTGGGAAAGCACTTGCGGAATGCGAGGTAATCTACCCTGTCTGATTTCATGCCATTGATCTCCATTTCTAGGAAGAGGTTCAGCACCAGCAGCACATACCACTGTGAGGGCAAGGGCAAAAATATCCGCCTTTGGTAGATGGGTATAATTCTGCAAAATTAAAAAAAAAATTTTTTTTTTAATATAAAAACACCCAAAATAAGGTAAAGTTACAGTGATGGCTTAAGTGAGAAATAGAACTAAATTGAAATATCCAATGCCACATTTAACTTTTAAGACCTATTCAGAGAAAAAGCTAAATTTGAGGAGTTTTTTTTTAATTACAAAGTAATACATACTTTGGGAGGGGAGTGGTAAATACATTTCTAAAAGTAAATGCCTTCTCTTTTTCAGTGGTTTGATTCAACTCTTAGAAACTCCTATCCTTCTGGGGGCATTCATATGAAAACACAAAACACGTATATATGGACAGGTTACAAATATACATACACGTATAAAAAGAACAATGGGATCGTACAATTTATTTGTTCTACATGTTCCACTTGCATTCAAAACTCTTACCACGAAATATTTTGTCACTTTTTTTTTTTTGGTCACACTCTTTCTGAAACAGTACTATTAACTATATGTCATTATTTATTTTTGTTCCCTTACTGCTAAACACTTACTTACATTGTTCCCAAATGGGAATTCTGGATCAAAGGGTACAGGATTTTAAAACATTGATACAAACTCTTTGATCTCCAAAAAGGCTATGGCATTTTATAGTTCTAATAGTAATGTATGAGAAATTCTCTTTTACCACAACTCCACCATTGTTGAATACTATAAATCTCTGCCTTTACTGAATTTTGCTAAATTAAATACCCAGCTAATGGTTTAGGCTTTTTTTTTTTTTTGACCATTTTACCTATTATTAGCTTAAAAATTTAATGTCTGCATTGTTATAAAGCAAACAGGATTATTAAAGAAAAAAAACTACCTCCTGCAAAACTTCATTAGCAAGAAAACGGCTATCACCCTCTTCAACTTGTGGACTAGAGATCCTTGTTACATGACCAAGATCACCTATAAGTATTAAAAAAAATAGAGTCAAGAGTTAAACAACCTCTTACTTTATTTTAAGGTAATAATCTGGTCATCTTTTTTTCTTACCTATTTTAAACATTACTTTGTTTGATGCCCAGTCATCTTCATCTCCTTCTTCAGAGGCAGCATTTGGGATTGAGGTTCGAGATATGAAAATATTACCTGTCAAACAATTAATTATGTAAGCTGCACTAACAATTAATACTATAACCAAAGCTCAAAAAACAAGGCCGTGCAACAGAATCATCACAAAAGCTTTCAAATACAGATTCTCATATGTTCTACCCCAAAAGCCAATGAGAGTAAGAATCTCAGGGGATAGGAACTGGGGTTGTATTTTCTAGGAACATATTTTCTTGCCTAGTACTGATCTTTGAACACTTGGAAACTACTGCATTAGACCCTTGTCATCTACACATTGATCTTCGGCTTTAACTACTTAGAAACAATACAAAAAGTAATAATGTAGTAATTTGTGATGCTACAAAATTATAAATTTTAACCTAATGCTACAGGCTGGTGCAAAACATACAAATAATGGAACTTGAGTTTGGCTAACCATACAGCATCTACATCCCAATGTAGCTCTGTGGTTCATTTCTGCTGTACACATATTTTTCTTTAAATTCTAGTAAGTTTATGATTGACATAAGTTTCAGTGACAGTTTTCACTTTAACAGTTCTACCAATGTAATACTGAGTTCATAAATGTTATATTTACTGAAGTCCTCTTTCCAACTTCACTTTATTTATAGGACAACTTACTTTACGATGGTATTTGTGAATTTGAAATTTTAAAATTCACATGCCTTAATGAAAAACTTTTGGTACTTATAAGGGTCCACTGTGTTCGTCTGACACTTAATACAAGGTGTGAGTGATTTAAATCTTACTATTCATATTTACTGCCTTCAGTCCAAATATTATATTTTCCCTTTTGAAAATAAAAATCTGAGTTGTTTACACATAGGTAAGAAATTCTTCATGTAACTTACAGAATTAAAGTAGGTTGTGTAAAATGATTTAATTTCTCATAAATCACACATTTCCACAGACAAAAAAACAAAAACCAAAAAACTTCATTAAAGTCAACTTAAAAACACCTAGCTATGGGGTGCCTGGGTGGCTCAGTCAGTGAAGCATCAGACTTTAGCTCAGGTCATGGACTCATGAGTTCTGTGCTGACAGCTTGGAGCCTTCCTTGGATTCCGTGTCTCCCTCTCTCTCTGCCTCTCTCCCACTTGTGCTCTGTCTCTCAAAAATAAACAAACACTTGGGGGTGCCTGGGTGGCTCAGTCGGCTAAGTGTCCAACTTTGGCTCGGGACACGATCTCACAGTCTGTGAGTTCAAGCCCTGCATTGGGCTCTGTGCTAACAGCTCAGAGCCTAGAGCCTGCTTTGGATTCTGTGTCTCCCTCTCTTTCTGCCCCTCCCCTGCTCTGTCTCTCTCTCTCAAAAATAAAAACATTTAAAAAACTTTAAATAAACATTAAAAAAAAAAAACCACACACACACACACCTAGCCTAAAATTCATACTTGAATTCATCAACCTTTTATAACTTCCACTTTGTAGGAAATACAGAGGAAAGAGGAATAAGCTAAATGATGCAAGGGAGGGGCACCTGGGTGACGCAGTCGGTTAAGCGTCTGGCTTTTGGTTTTGGCTCAGGTCATGATCTCATGGTTTTGGGAGTTCAAACCCTGCACTGGCTCTGTGCTGACAGTGTGGAGTCTTCGTGGGATATTCTCTCTCTGCCCCTCCTCCGCTCATGCTGTCGCTTTCTCTCAAAAATAAATAAGCTTTAAAAAATTATAAAAAAATTATGGCGCCTGGGTGGCTCAGCTGGCTGGGCATCTGACTTCAGAGCAGGTCACGATTTCACAGTTTGTGGGTTCAGGCCCTGCATCTGGCTCTGTGCTGACAGGTCAGAGCCTGGAGTCAGCTTCTGATTCTGTGTCTCCCTCTCTCTCTGCCCTCCCCCATCCACGCGCTCTCTCTCAAAAATAAACATAAAAAAAAAAAAAAAAAAAAAAAAGAAAAAAAAAGATGCAACACATAGTCCTGAAATGGATACTAGTATGGACAAATCAGCCATCAAGAACCTGGGACATCTGGGGAAAATTTAAGCATGATCTGGGTATTAAAGGAGACGAAAATTTACTGAAACAAAAAGGTAGAGATGACATATGACAAGTTTTAAAACAGTATGTACATTATGAGGTTATTTTAACAAAATGAGAGGGATTTGCACTAAAATGCCATTGTAGCATGCACTTGCATCTTTTTAATATAAGATAATCATACTGCATGTGCCATTTGTTTTCTGCATAATACAGTAACACTTTCATGGTATATAGGCTAGAAATACCACCATGTTTGTATAGCACTTAAGTTTCCAAAAACATGTTCACATATCTCATTTGATTCTAACAACCCCATTACCAGTACCAGCATTACTTTAGGATTATGGTTCATAGCCTAGCAGAAGAGAAGGTCTTTAATTTTTTTTTTTTAATGTTTATTTATTTTTGACAGAGAGAGAGACAGAGCATGAGCAGGAGAGGGGCAGAGAGAGAGAGGAAGACACAGAATCCGAAACAGGCTACAGGCTCTGAGCTGTCAGCATAGAGGCTGACACATGGCTCAAACTCACAGACCGCGAGATCATGACCTGAGCCAAAGTCGGACGCTCAACCGACTGAGCCACCCAGGCACCCTAGAATAGCAGGGCTTTAAACAACAGATTCTCAGTCTCCCAATCAGAGTACTACCTAGTTCATGACTATACAGTTCCCATAAGACGTGGCAAATTTTTCCAACTTTTAATAAAAATTAGTTTATTGTCTCAAATATTTTGAGATAACAAGGGAAAAGGTGTCTGGAAATCATAAAACAATACTTACATGTGGCTCAAAGTTCTTTTAAAACTAACAATGACGGGGAGCCTGGGTGGCTCAGTCGGTTAAGCGTCCGACTTCAGCTCAGGTCACGATCTCACGGTCCGTGAGTTCGAGCCCCGCGTCGGGCTCTGGGCTGATGATGGCCCAGAGCCTGGAGACTGCTTCCGATTCTGTGTCTCCCTTTCTCTCTGACCCTCCCCCGTTCATGCTCTGCCTCTCTCTGTCTCAAAAATAAATAAACGTTAAAAAAAAAAAAATTTAAAACAATGAAAAAACACAGTAAGACATATGTATATATACACATACATACGTATAAAGTTTATTTATTTTGAGCGAGAGAGACAGAGCACGAGCTGGGAAAGGGCACAGAGGGGGAGAGAATCCCAAGCAAGCTCTGTGATGACAGCGCAGAGTCTGATTGTGGGGCTCAAACTGACAAACCATGAGATCATGACCTGAGCCAGAATCAAGAGTCAGATACTTAACCAATTGAGCCACTCAGGTGCCCCATGGACGTGTATGTTTTCATGTTGTTTTAATGAAATCATTTATTCTCTATAACACTAAAGAACACAGGTCAGAGAATTTGTAATACTTACTAGGCTTTATATCCATGTGAACCAAAGACATTGAATGAATATACCTCAAGCCCCGGCCAACTTGCAAAAGGAGATCCTTCAACTCTGCTTCTGTAAAGTAACTCATGCTTCTATAGTTTTCACTTATGGCATCAGCTAAACTTCCACCTAACGAACATGGAAAAAATTAGCAATTTCTTCTTTCTGAAATATTTTTCTCCATCTTTACTGAATGGTCACAAACTCAACAAAGAAAGTGACATTTTATAGGACCTATTCCCTCCTCCTTGTTTGTGATATCAAAATCTTACTCTTTCAACAGGTAATATACTCACATAGGTACAAAATATAAAGTCTCTGTGTCATCCAGATACCCCAGCATCCTACCTGGTTCTTTTTCCCAGAATAAACCAATGTTATTTGTTTCTTATATATCTTTTTCAATTCCTTTTTACACAAATGGTAACATTTTCATGATCTTGAAGATCATTCTTTACTAATACACAAAGACTACCTTGTTCTCTCCTAAGTCTCTATACAATTCCACTGTATAACTGAATGGTAAGGAACTAACCAATCTCCTGAGGAACATTTTAAAATAATTTCCTTTGCTACTATATACTACATTCTAAGAAATAACTTTGTACATTGGTCATACAACATACATTTAATATATCTCATAGAAAAAAAAACTACTGGCTTTTATAGTATGTATAATCATAAAACAATACTAGTATGTGGCTCAAGCGTGTGTGTGTGTGTGAGAGAGATACTATCTTATATACAGGATAAATTTTTATAGCTAAGAGGGTTTTGGAAGACAAATCTGGGGCAATTTTACTTACACACACACAATCCCCCATAGAGAAGTCTGTACGAATGTATACTCCCATCATTAATATATGAGAATACTTGTTTTCCCACACCCTTGACAGTCGTCTATAAATTTTATAGGTAAAAACCAGTGTCTTAGTATAGTTTTAACTTGCTTTTATAGAATCAAACCAACCAGCTAATTTGTTTATACTTTTAAAAAACTTTGTAAGTTTATACAAGTTTTATTAAAAACATTATAAGTTTATAACTTATCTCAAAGGAAAAGAGGAGTTATACAAAGCAAAACAAAACAAAAACCAAAACAAACCACATCTGTTTAAAGCTTAGTTAGGAATAATAAAATCAGAGCCAGGGTAATAAAATCAGGGAGGTATACTGATACATGTTGTTAGTCAGGAAAGGCTAAATAGCAAAATGTCCAATGTGTTTTAAAAATAAAAATAAATCACACACCTCGATATTTTAGGCTTAAGTATGTTCTCCATACTTGTACCAATTTTGAACTTCAGGAAAAAGAGGGCTTAGAAGAGAGATCAATAAGCTTGTCAGACAAGTGGGCTTGAAGTCCTAGACCAAGTTTAATAAGATAGAATACAGCTGCTTTTTAGTGGGTCCAGTACCTATAGCTAGGCCAGTTCCTTCTATCTCATTGCTGAAAGAAAGAGAGAGGTGAGAGAAGAGCAAGACACTCAACTGATATTTCAGGTTCTCTTCCCCTATCCATCAACATTTTTCCACACTTGTTTACCATGGGTAAAAATTTCAGTCTCTCACCAAACCCAGACAAAAGACTTAAAATGCAAATGAGTGTTTGAGATAATAAAGAAACTTAGTCACGGTAAAGGATATCAGTTAATCACCATGTACAAATGAAATAACAGAATCATTTCCCTGTGAAACTATGGAAAAGGATTTGAAGATCAGGTCTATTATTAGGACATTCAAAGTTTTATGTGGAGAGAAGAATGGTGGCAAAAGGACACAAAAAAAGAGTTTACAAATGTATCTAGATCGCCTTATTTGCTTTCATCTACATAGAATGAACTATACTGAGGCAATCCTGTTTCACACAGGTCTATTTATTTTTTAAAGATCTGTATATTCTTTGTTTTATACTGTTCCAAAATAATAAACTGCTTCAGAAGATTATTTTATAATTTAACTTTATACCAGGACAAGGTTTTGTTTTTGTTAGGACAAAGTCTTCATAATGAGAGGCTAGCAAGACAACTCACCTCTCCCTATCCCCCAGGACCAAGCGTTTTCTCAAAATTATTTGAATTACACCACCACATATTTATTTGGTAGATTGTTACAAATTTGTGATCCCGGACTGCTACGGAAATCCTTGTTAAGAGGACCAGCCACATCAAAGTGAGAGAGAGAAAGAAACTAGAAGATGGCATGTAGCAAACACGGAGTAGAGAAGACATGGTCAGACAGCCCTATATTAAGTACAGTAACTGAAAAATGAAGGTTAAAAACCGGAAGAGTCCACAAGGCCATGAGAGACAGCTACACACATATTTTGATGATATGAATAGAAACATTTCAAGAGATGTCTGAAACAAATTAGCAGCAATGCTGTATACTGAGCACTTAATTCTTTCAAGTGTAGAGAATAAAATGACAGTTCAGTAAGAAATAAGGCATGAGAAAAGGCTCTTTTACTTCTGTTTTGTTCAATGTTTTTAAATACTGAAAATCTGAATCGACTACCTACACCACTTATTCACAAGCTATGAGATGGCTGGTCTTATTTAAGGAAAAAATAACGAAAGTCAACAAAAATAAGTAACACAAACATAAATCATTGTTAATCACCTCTTAACTGTTCACTAAATTCTAAATTCTCTACTATTCAAATATACAGAAATGGAAATCCAGTGTATATAATAATTTACCTATTTAATAACAGGTATTTACAAGAATCAGAATTGAGACCAGGGTTTTGACTAAGGTTTAATGAAAAAAGGGGGAACCAAGTTGGTCCTTGAAAGACTTGCTGAAATCGAAAGCTCTCCAGAAGTCCAAAATTGAACTTCTATAGATGCTTGTTTTGTTGGTTTGGAGGGGAAATGAGGGAGAGAGGCGAACGAAGCTAGAGAACTAAAAGAGTTTAACATAATAAAAAAAGTCTGAGTGGATTCTAGTGGTACACTAGGCTGGATAAACGGGAATGGGGGCAAGATTACAGAATACTTTGGACAAATGGCTGAAGTTAGAACAATGGAGAGTCACTGTCACTGGTTTAAACCAGTATCAGTTTGTTTTTTTTTTTTTTTTTTCAACGTTTATTTATTTTTGGGACAGAGAGAGACAGAACATGAACGGGGGAGGGGCAGAGAGAGAGGGAGACACAGAATCGGAAACAGGCTCCAGGCTCTGAGCCATCAGCCCAGAGCCTGACGCGGGGCTCGAACTCGCAGACCGCGAGATCGTGACCTGGCTGAAGTCGAACGCTTAACCGACTGCGACACCCAGGCGCCCCAAGTATCAGTTTTAATAGCACATAAAATGAAATGGAAAAGGAAAACTAGATGCATTGAACCTGCGTTATTAACTACTATATCCCACATACACTATGCTACATGCTAGGGATGCTAAAATACATATGGCAAGTCCACTGTCCTCTCCAAATCGGTGTGACTAACATGCACACAAAATGCACAATTCTACTACTGAGGTAAAAGGGACAACGTTTATAATTTTTACTTAACGTCAAGGTAGGCAATGAACTTGAAATTCATGTTAGGCTCCTTGATCTTTGCATTTTAAGAAATAAAAGGGGGGAGGGCCTGGGTGGCTCAGTTGGTTGGGTGGCCGACTTCAGCTCAGGTCATGATCTCACGGTTTGTGGGTTTCAAGCCCCGCATCGGGCTCTGTACTGACAGCTCAGAGCCTAGAGCCTGCTTCGGATTCTGTCTCTCTCTCTCTCTCTCTCTGTCTCTCTCTCTCAAAAATAAACGTTAAAAAAGATTTTTAATAAAATTTAATTTAAAAAAATTTTTAAAAAAATAAAAAAAAACCACAGAGTTAAAGTAGGATTTCAGATAAAAATAAGCATTTCCTCGGTGTTCATTTTTCTGAACTCACAAGTTTCAAACAGAACAATGTATTACTCACCATTACAATACTCATTCTGTATAAGCATATGATCATCTTCTGCCCATGCAGAGAAATATCGAACTACATGAGAATGTTGTCCAAGCACTGCATGGGCATACACCTCCCTCAAAGCGTTCTGCCTAGGAGAAATTTGACATTGATAGAATGGTACATCATTTTTATTCAAGCCTAAACTGAATTAATTTATCTGAAACTTCATAAAAGAAACTTGACTTGTTATCTATCATTATGCTGAAGAAATAACTTCCTTGAGAGGGAGGGTGTTAAGACTCTGTACCAGATTTTTCTAAAGGCTTCCATTAAAGAAAAATGCTAGTTACAAAGAAGGAACCTTGCTGGCCCTAGGACTCAGGAAAAACAAAACTCCATTTTACTGTGAACTCATGGATGCTCCCAGGAAAAAGAAATTTAAGTTAGCCTTCAAAATCAGACTACTCATATTATTTTACCAAGTTCAGTAAGAATTAATGGCACAAAATGAAAAGGATCTGATTAAATTATTATGGCTTCTCAAAAGTGAGAGAATTAATTTCACTACTTGGTTATGTAAAATCTTAACATTTGCAACACCATAGGGAATAAGAGTAAAAGACAAAAATTTTAATACGTACTCATCGACGGAGCCAGCCAATGGCTTTTTTGATCGCTTAATGGCATAAACGCATCCATCCAGCCTCTTCACACACTTAAACACAGAACCAAATTCTCCAGAGCCAATTTTCTCTAGCTCATGAAATTCTGTTGTATACCGTGACTTCATATTGCTTTCAGTAATTGTGATTCTCTACAATAAGGGGTATATTCACAAAGACATGAAAATGATTTTTTGCTATAATAATAGCCCTATGTGTGAAATTTAAAAATCATTACGTTTTGTTTGAATGTGTATTTAACATGTATATATGGTTACTTGTTAAGTAAGAAGTCGAAAATGAAATTTCAGAAACAATAAAAAAATAAAAATCTATTTACTTTAGCAGGTCTTGTTTCATCTTCAAACTCATAATCACTGGCTTCCATATCTTCACCACAAGAACTGGAAAACATTATGTATGTTTCCATCAGTAGATCTGACAGACACATCAACTAGAGATCCAAAACTTTATCTGATAGATGTACAGTGAAAATGCATTTTAATGAATAAAAACAGACAAGAAAGCACTTAATTTTGTAATCACAAGATATACCTCAGCTGATTAAAATGCTGTTCCTACTGAAAAAAAATGCAGATTAACTACAAGCCAATACCACTGCACATATCAAAATTTAAGTCTTTCTAAATAATCAATAACTCTCTCTGCCTGCTTCATTTTGACACCAGATTTCCTACAAGCCATTTAGGCTTTTTATTCCTTCCTTTCTTACACTACTTCTTCTCCACAGCTGATTACTTCCCACCTGCCTCTCCTGGGAAGCAAGTGCTAGTAACAGAAAAATTTCAGAGCATAAATTTCCATGTCATTCAGATGAAATTAAATTTTGATAAGTACCACAAATCAACCTTGGATGGTTAGGAAACCAAACTAAATAACTTACTCATTCCAATGTGTTCGCTTTCTTCTACGACACTGTCCTGAGGAATGAAGTAACACAGAATCTGGGGTAAAAGGATTAATATTCACTTGAGGAGTCTGTCGCATGTCAAATTCCCTTTTTCCTGATTTTTCTGTATCCATGAACAAAGAACCACCTCGGAGTTTAACAGAGCTGGAATCGATTCCTCGAGCTTTGGAGAGCAAACTCTAGGGCAGGAAAAGTAAAATTTTAGTATCTAAATTCTATAGACCGCTTTCTCAACCCAACCTTCAACAAGCCTTTCTCATGGCTGATAGTGTAGGTCAAAGCAACACACAATCCACCGCATCTCAAGGAAAATAAACAGTGCTTAACTTGAACAGTGAAAGGTGGATACCAGTCATCTTTTCTGAAAAAGACAGCCACATAAAATAGGCCTCTAACACTAGAAAGAATAGAAATGCAGACTAAAATTAAGTTTATTCTAGAGTCTAAAAGTTAAACTCTTTCAATCCATCTAAAAATACAAAGCAGTCAGGGAGCCCCATAAAAGCTCCCTCCCGGCCCCCCCCCCCCCATCCAAATAGGGCTTTCAAAACCAACTTCGCTGGACTCCTCCCCACGCTTCTAAAGGGATCTTGCCTTGGGCATGTCCTTAATACACAAGAACACTCAAAAAACAAAAAACAAAAACCACACTTCTTCCCAAGGTCTAGGATTAACCGCACTGAACCCGACTCACTTACAAGGTCCATTTTCCATATTACTCTTATAAACATGATACTTGTCTTCATTTCAGGTAGGGTTCATTTTAAAATCTGTTACTTCTCAAGTTCCACAAGTGGCAATCTGCATACTCACTTGCCACTCAAAAACAGGTGCTGAACACCTCCTTCATTGTGATACGTTATCAGCAGTTTGAAAGCACAAGGGTCCAAACAACACCACCACTGCTGGCTTTAACAGTTGGGTTGTCCCCAATCATTAGTCAGGCTGACCACACATAGGCACTGCAAACCCAAGGGTGTAAACAAACGCTTACCCGATAAATATGCACGGATAGATTCTTAAAAGCTACCCTGAATTAAGGAATCTTTACGGCTGGAAATGCTTGGAAGGCCAGCCTTTCCTCCCAAGTCGAAGCGCAGTCACCCTGCATACCTCCAACTTAACCCCTTAAGGCCACATGACACGAAACGGTAAGCGCATGAAAAAATTTTTTAACCGAACTCCTGAGTGTGCCGCCCAAATTACAGGGCCCCTCACTGCGTTTAAAAGGCACCATATGGCTGCTGCCCTCGGGAGTGTCAGGTGGCCACGCCAGCACCGCTCCAACATCTTTCCAAACCACGTTATATCAGTGCCACACTCCGGGCTGACACGCTCGGCACGGCCCCGACTCGACCGGCGTGAAATCGTCAGCCACCTGGACGGCGCCGATCTTGAAAGATGAAGAAGTTCCAGAAGAGGCCCATTGTTCAGTTACATAATCTTAACGGACAACTTCTGGGCAGGGCCAGAAAGAGGGGCTGCCAACTTTTTGTTGCGGCTCAAGGGAGCGAGTGGGGGTGCGGCCGGGCGGTTATGTAACCGAATCCGGGGAGCGCCGCGCTCGGCTCCTGGCGCCGCGGCCTTTTTAAAAGGCTGGGCGGGCGCGGGCTCGGGGCGCCCGGGCCCCGTGTCCTCTCACCTTGGGCGTGTGCGGCGTGTCGAAGAGCCGCAGCTTGCGGAAGGTCTTGTGCGGCGGGGTGCCGGGGTGGTCCGGCGGCGGCGAGCAGGGGCCCTCGCTAGCCCGGCGCGTCCCGCAACCGCGCGGGGACGCGTCCCCCGAGCCGCCGCAGCGCACCGGCGAGAACGAGCTGCCCAGGAAGTAGGCGGCTGCCGGCGACTTGACCGGCGATGAGGAGCCGAAGCCCTCCTCCTCCCATGAGTCGCCCTCGGCCCCGCCGCCCGCCGCGTCCGCGCCCGGACAGGCGCCTCGCAGCAACATGTCCTCCTCCAGCTCCCCGGGGCTGCCGGGGGCCGGGCCGGGCGAGCGGCGGCGCTCGGGCCCGGGCTCTGTGGGGCTCCGCGCGGGCGGCAGTGGAGAGTCAGGCTCTTGAAAGGCCGAGTCCTCCCCCGTGCTGTGGCCGCTGCCCTCCTCCTCTTCCTCCTCCTCCTCCTCCTCACAGTCGCTACAGGGCGAGAAGATCAGCTTCTGCCGCAAAGTGCAAGAAGCCCCGGGACGGCGGGGCGGCGGCGGCTGCTGCCGGCTTAGGAAGCTCATCTCGCCCTGGGGCCGGGGCCGAGGACCGGAGAGCCGAAGCCCGCGGAGTCGAGGACTCGGGACGGCCTAGGGGGCGGGTCCGCCACGTGCGACTGGGCGCGCCTGGTCGCCGCGGTGGCGGACTTGCGCGGCGGCGGGCTGCGGCTCCGGAGCGCTCGGGACTGCGGGCGGCGGTGGCGGGGGTCGGCAGCGGCGGCGCGGACTGTCCAGCGGAGGCGGGGCGGCCGGGGCGCCGAGGCTGGTGTCCCCACAGGTCCAGCCGCAGGTTCGGGCTCCGCGGCTTCCCGCGACCGTTAACCACGTGAGTGCCCAGCCCACCAATCCCCGCCCAGCCCGGGGTTTGAAAAAAAAGGAGGGCGCGACGTAGCCCGCGGGGGAGGGATCAGCTACGCGATTTTGGCGCGAACCCGCTGGCTCCGCCCGCCCTCGGCGGCACGGCCTGGGCGGGCGGGGCGCCACGGGCCTATGAGGGAGTTCGACCTCCGGGAACCCGGCCGGGCACCGCCCGGTCGGGGCCGGACGGGACAGCCGAGGCGGCCCTCTGGGAGGAGCGAAGGGTGCTAGGCTCGACTAGGCCCAGCCGAACGCCACCCTGGAGGCGGCTTGCTCGTGGTACCTCAGCGCTCTCGGGTCTGAGGTGGGGGCCAGGGAACACTTCTGGGTTCCTCCGGGTCGGGGCGAGCAGGAAACCACCGTGGCTCTCCTGCCAGTCCCGTGTCCTTTCGGTGCGAGCCGCTGGGGGCGTTGTAGGCGTGGCTGTAGGCAGTCACGTTCCCCGGTAGAGGTTTGAGCCGGAAATGGTGACTCGGGCCTCTGGAGCTTTGAGAACTGAGCGCGTTGCTTAGGCCGGACCCAGAAATCAGCCGGAAGGCCCACAGACGGGAGTCGGAGGCGGGGAAACGGCTGTGGGGAAGGCCTGTGGAGCCTCAGTTTCCCCCCAGGGTGGCTGTTAGGGTCGGGTGTGTCCCCAGCGAGGTGAGTTCCCCCAAGCTGTGGCAGTCCACCCGAGACTTGTCCAGAGTAAATACCAGCGGCACCAACAGTCGGCCCCAGCACGAAACCAAGTGCTCACCACGCGGCCACGGTGTTTATATTTGTTTGCCAGCACGTGGGCAAGTGTTGGCAAAACGGATTGGCCCACTTCACAGCAAACTTAAATGCACCTTGAGAAGAAATCACTCTAGTGCCCGGTCAAACTGTGATCTCATCTGCCCTTTAGAGTCGCACAGGAAAGTTTCTGGAATTTTTCAGTTGTAAATAACCCCGTGATGAATATTCTGACTCCTCGCGTGGTTTTTTGTCTCTGTGTTGTTTGAGGTTTTTTTGTTGTTTTTTTTTAAAGATAGATTCATGGAAGTGAGAATTACTAGGTCAAAGGATATAAACTGCCAGACTGACCTCCAAAAGAAGACAATTTACGTTCTCACTAGCAGTGGATTAGTGTACCCTGGTCATGAATTCTGGACATAAGTGGATATTTAATGTTTGTTAATGTAATTTTTTTTAATGTGTTGTTTGTTTTTTGAGAGAGAGAGAGAGCAGGGGAGGGGGAGAGATGGGGGAGACAGGATCTGAAGTGGGCTTTGGGCTGACGGCAGAGAGCCTGACTCTGGACTTGAGCTCTAGCCGTGATATCATGACCTGAGCGAAGTCCATGGTTTAACTGACTCAGCCATCCAAGCCCCCTAATTTTGTTGCTTTGACTCATATGGTTGGACAGTCTTCATGTGCCAGTGGCCACTTATGTTTATTTCTATTGTCTGTTTTCTTATTGTAGCACTTTATGAATATTAACACTTGACCATATATGTTGTTCTAACACTTTTCAAAGACGGAACTCAAGCTGAATTTTTAATAATGGAAACACATTTTAGTACTTACCACATGGACCAAGAGCACAGTGTATACATTGTATGTTAGCCAATTTGACAATAAATTGTATTTAAAAAAATACCACATGGGAAATTCCCTGATATCACATACTTGAAGATGCAGTGAGGGGAAAACAGCTGTCTTCTCCAGATATTTGCTTTTGTGTCTTTTTTGTATGTTAATCCAAATTTAGCGTTAAGCTCTTGAAAGACTGGAACTCTACCCTTTTGTTATGTTTCAAGGGGAGGCATTCTCTGATCCCTGGTGGCCAAACCCAAGGAATGATTTTTAGCACTCTTCCTACAATACCACCGCCTCTTCTTCACTCCTCATGGCAATATAAGCCTTTGATGTGGATAGTTGACCATATTGAATTGCTTTTCTTAATTTCATGTAAGTGTAAATAAAAATAACTTTAGGGGCACCTGGGTGGCTCAGTTGGTTGAGTGTCTTGACTTTGGCTCAGGTCATGATCTCACAGTTCATGTTCAAGCCCCACAACGGGTTCTCTACTGTCAGCACAGAGCCTGCTTCAGATCTTCTGTTCCCCTCTCTCTGCACCTCCCATGCTTGTACTTTCTCAAAAATAAAACATTTTAAAAAATTAAAAAAGTAACTTCAGAAAACTACTTTTTATTGATCATTAGCATGAGTTGTATGTAAAACTAGTGTGTTTCCTAAGAACTTTAAGGGGCGCCTGGGTGGCTCAGTCGGTCAAGCGTCCGACTTCGGCTCAGGTCATGATCTTGCGGTCCATGAGTTCGAGCCCCACGTCGGGCTCTGTGCTGACCGCTCAGAGCCTGGAGCCTGTTTCAGATTCTGTATCTCCCTCTCTCTCTGACCCTCCCCCATTCATGCTCTGTCTCTGTCTGTCTCAAAAATAAATAAATATTTAAAAAAAACTTAAAAAAACAAAAACAAAACTTTAAAGCCCAGTAGATAACTTCTCCCCAACTAAAATGTTGCTTCTAAGCCCGTTCTATGTAGGAATTCTGTATCCTCTGAGGCTATCCATGCAAGCTCACTTCCCCTCCCCCCTCACTCTTTCACAACTCCCTGTTATTTCCTTAACAGGCTTATATCTATCTCAAAGTGTGTTGGTTGTTTATTTATTACTATCCCCTTCTAGAAAATGAGTTCCCTGAATATAGGAACCTTTTCTATTTTGTTTATTGCAGTATTCTAACATGGCTTACGTGCTCAATATCTTCTGAGTGATAATAGAGCCCTTATTTAAATATTTGTTGATTGGCTTACTTTTCTATCTCAATATAAATTCAAATGGTACAGAAGTACCCCAGCTACCTCTTCTTGGAGGTAAACACTCTTTTAACATTTTTTTTTTTCGACTCTTAACCATGCCACCTGTCTGCTTCCTTAAACTGGGAGGTCCTTGAAGTAGATTAGAGCAAAAGGGCCTGGCTTCCAAACCGGGAGGGAAGAGTTCTTGGTCCACAGAGCCAGTACTTTGAATTCTTGGCACCAAGTTCTGCCCACAGAATGGGAGAGGTAAATTTCCATAGAATGACTGAAGGAAAGAAAGAATTTCTTTACAAGTTGGAAACAAGATTCAGTGGGAGAACGATTTCTTCTATAAAGCCTTTTCTTAAGTTTCTCCACTTCTAGGTAAAAGAGACACTCCGGGAACCAGGTTTTCTAACCACACTTGGCATGGACTCTGTTAACAGTCTTTGTTCACTGGTCTGGCTTCCCTTCCACCCAGGGCTGAGATCAAGTTTTATTTGTCTTTAGAGCACCAGCGACCAGCAATGTGCCTTGGCCCCTGAGAAGGTACTTAATAAATGTTTCTGGAATAATTGAAAAAAAGCTGGTGTTCTTTAAAACAAAAGTGCCAAAATGAGTACGAAACCAAGGCCCTACCTCCTCTAGCTGAGAACATGGCACAATGTTATGGTTTAACTGCAGCAATGCCCTAACTGAAATTCTAAATTATTGTCCTGATTTTTTAAATTTCATGCTTCTCTGAGTACAGCACTCACTGTACTGGAGGGATGGAGTTATGCCCACCTGCCCCGGGCATATCTAATTCAAATTTCCTGTTCTTTCACCACCCAATGTTCCTAACTGTAATGTTGCTAGGCAACCTTTGCAGAATCCACAAGTTTGTGGTAATGTTGTAATAACTAAGTAAAAATCTTGCCTCTAGGTGTTGGGAGAACAAACAACCTGTTTATCCCCTTTAGACAGATGACTTAGCAAGTATAAGGCTTTAATGCCACTATTGTCAGCCCATTCACCTCCCTTAGCAGCAAGATAAGCAAGATTCCTGCCTTGAAGATTTATAATTGAGATTCTAAATCACCCTCTCAAATACTTTTTTTTTTTTTTAAGTTTATTTATTTATTTTGAGAGAGAAAGCTCAAATCCTGGAGGGCAGAGAGAGAACCAAGAAGGCTCTGCACTGTCAGCACAGTTTGGGGCTCGAATCCACCAACCATGAGATCATGACCTGAGCTGAAGTCGGATGCTTAACCTACTGAGCCACCCAGTTGCCCCTCAAATTCTCTTAATATATGCAAGTACATAAATATATGTTCATATTCTTATTAACATAAGTCTTGCACTTTGAATGAACTATCCTTTAGTTCGTAGAGACTAATTTTTCACAGTCTGCAGACGTGTTTCATGAGAATAGCTAGGCTTTACCCAAAGCTGAATCTTTTCTAGTTTATGCTTTTGATTCTGGAGAAATAATAACTCTAAATAGGAGCCTATTCTGATAAATTTCTAATTTTTTTGAAAAAGAAGCCATGTTGGTCAAATTGTTTTTCACTTAACAAATACTAGCAGGGGCAGTGGGAGGGTTGCGGGGGGTGCCTGGGTGGCTCAGTCAGTTAAGTATCTGACACTTGATTTCAGCTCAGGTTGCAATCTCTAGGTTTGTGAGTTTGAGCCCTGCACTGGGGGCTCTGGGATTCTCCCTCCCTTTCTCTCTGCCCCTCCCCCCCTCCCCCTACATCTCTCTCTCAAAGTAAATAAATAAAATTTTAAAAATACATATTAGGGACGTGTCTGGCTGACTCATTTGGTAGAGCATGTGACTCTTGATCTTGGGGTCATGAGTTTGAGCCCCACATTGGGTGTGGAGTCAACTCAAAAAAAAAAAAAAAAAAAAAAAGTCAACCAGGTGCTCCCCAGACCAAATCTTTAAAAAACAAAACAAGAACAAATACTATGCTAATAAAGTCCAACTGTCTTTTCTTCGTCTTCCTGGTTATCTTTACTTTTTCCCTTCCGCTGCTTCTCTCAGCAAACTTCACCTTACTTCCACCCAGCTCTAACTGCCTGTTGGCCCTGGCAGTCCAGATCTCAGGCTAGAATGTGGTACTCCTATCCCTGCTCCTATTTGACTTCTCAGGTCTAGGTTAGCTTTCTCTACTCTTGTCACTTGCCTTCCTACCCTCTGATGGATAACATTGTTTGAATGTTTTACCACGTGTTCATTAGATCACCCTGAGAATACAGTATAATCTAATTTAATTTGTCTTTAGTTCAATGGGTTAAGTGTGAGACTAGTGCTGTCCCTTACAACGAATGTTCATACAAAGAGTGTTCAATAAATGTTATGTGTTGCTTTTAATTATAACAATGTTGTTTGAGACTAATCCATACTTGTTAATGGCTTTATAAATGGTCAGTAAATGGAACATGTAACTCCTGATGTCCCCAAAATAAGTTTGCTTAATATGGATAGACAGTTGAGATTATATACAAATCAAGTCAGGACAGATATAGTACAGTTGATCCTTGGAGAACATGGAGGCTAGGGGTGCTGACCCCTTGCAGTCAAAAATCAGTATATAGGGGCGCCTGGGTGGCTCAGTCGGTTAAGCGGCTGACTTCAGCTCAGGTCATGATCTCGCGGTCCGTGAGTTCGAGCCCTGTGTCGGGCTCTGTGCTGACAGCTCAGAGCCTGGAGCCTGTTTCAGATTCTGTGTCTCCCTCTCTCTGACCCTCCTCCGTTCATGCTCTGTCTCTCTCTGTCTCAAAAATAAATAAACGTTAAAAAAAATTAAAAAAAAATCAGTATATAACTTTTGACTCCTCCAAAACGTAACTAATAGCCTATTGTTGACCACAAGCCTTACTGATAACATAAACAGTTGATTAACACATATTTTGTATGCTAT